AAATGGTCTATTTACCCAATGGACAATTAGCAGTGTATGATTAAGTATATTGTGGGAATTACAGCCGGGGAGTTTTCGGAGCAGCAACAGCAGTAGTAGGTGATCAATTCCCACACAGACCAGCAGCTATTTCGAGGTGAGTTTCCTTCCAGTAGTAACGGGTCTAAGGCACCAAGGCCGGCCCGTATAGACTAGACGTTAGTATTAGAGTGTGGGCCGAGCCCGTATCTCTTAGTTGAGTTGATTATGATATATGCCAGTATGATAGAATTGTTTACACTTGTTGTCTGTGCGATACTTGTATGATATGAGTTGGCGGTTGAGTGTGGGCGAGGCCCGTATCTCTCCGAGAATGGAGTGTGGGCTAGGCCCGTATCTCCCAGATAGCGAAGTGTGGGCGGGACCCGTATCTTGACGAGTGTGGGCGGGGCCCGTATCTCTCAGAAAGCGAAGTGTGGGTGGGGCCCGTATCTTCACGAGTGTGGGCGTGGCCCGTATCTCCTAATTGCATGTTGTTTGTTAAATGCTTGCATGGTATGGGGTATTATGGGGGAGCTCACTAAGCTTTGTGCTTACGGTTTCAGTTTTGGTTTCAGGTACCTCCTCAGCTAGGGGAAAGGAGCCGGTGCGGTAGCAGCATGTCACACACACACACTCTTCGGTTTCCGCATTTACGAGCTTTTCTGGGATTGATACTCTGATATTCTGATTAGTTGTATGTTTTGGTTTTCAGACATGGTTCAGTTTATATTATGGATGATCGAATGATGTTTTAGTTATTAATATTTTCTAAAGTAACGTTTTTAAACAAAAAAATTTTGATGTGAAAATTGGGTCGTTACAATTAATCATCTTTTATCTTTTCCAAATTGCTTTTACCTCACAAACTTCCCAACCACTTCCTTCTTTGTAACATTCCACCTGCCAAAATTATGGTCCAAAACACAAGTCAAAACACAAATGACAAAAGAAGTTAGGGAAAAAAGTCAAAGACATGGTTACATATACATACAATCTCCAAAACGTTATTGTCGTCCGTGGATCCACCAATTGTGTATAGTTTTTCTCCAATCACAAAAACACTAAAATTATCTCTAGAAACATTTATTGGTTCACATTCCACCCAACAACCCATGCGAGAATTAAAACATTCCACCCAACAACCCATGATAGCTAGATCTCAAATCAATCTTCGAGAGATAGCTAACACCCTGAAGTTGATCAAATAAATCGTCAATGTGAGGTAGTGGGTACTTGTTCTTGATAGTCACCTTATTTAGCTCACGGTAATCAATACACATTCACATTGATCCGTCCTTCTTCTTGACAAACAATACCGGAGCACCCCACGGAGAGGTACTCGATCGAATGAAGCCTTTGTCAAGTAATTCTTGCAGTTGAATCATCATTTCTTTCATTTCAGCTAATGCAAGACAATAAGGAGTCTTTGCATTTGAAGCAGCACCAAGTACAAGATCAATTCGGAATTCAACTTGCCTGTTAGGAGAAAGTCCATGCAACTCATTGGGAAAAGCATTATGATATTCGTTAGCAAAGGGAATATCATTTACAGTTTTCTTATCCTCTCTTGAGATATCAACTGTGTAAGCCAGATAGATAGGGCACCCCTTCGCTATCAACTCCGTAGCACCACTACTCTTGAAATATTTGAACTAGGGATGCTTCACCTCTCCTTTTGAAGATTCTCCAGTGGCTTTCTTTTTGCCTTTATCATTATCCTTCTTATGTTCTTCAAGAGTCTGTCGAATGATACCTGTAAGTTTACCCAAGAGTCGCTTCTCTCGATGGGATACTGGAGTATTTACTTCATCAGGTTTAGGATCTCCACCCACTTCTGGTGTATGGGTATCTTCCTGTTCAGCCATTCTTCTGAAAATTTGGAGCAACGTAGTATTTAGAAAATTAGGATTTATTATTACCTAATACATTACTTAAATCTTTCCTATGGTTATTATCCATATATTCGTAATGAATCAGTTCATATATTGAACTTCCAATAGTTTAAGTCTAAATACCAATCTTTGGAATTTAGTTCACTTATACCACTGCTATGATACCATGATTGAAAGACCCTAATATTCGTATTTCTGAAAGACCCAAACTTTCATACTTCATAATATTGTTACTCCAAAATATGCTACATGCATATTCATAAATAATATTTTACATTGATAATTTCAATTACAAACGACTGGATACAAACCAAATATTTAGATATTTACATATTACATAACTATCCAGGATATTAAAGTCTTATACAAACATGAGTACAAAATACAATAGTTTTAAACTATTCTAAATCATGCAACAATATATAACTAATCTTGTTGCTTATTTCCTGCAATTGTTAAACATTGAGAGGGGTAAGCGGTGACGCTTAGTGAGTTCAATAATAGATACAATATAATGTCATGCCATATATATATATATATATATATATATATATATATATATATATATATATATATATATATATATATATATATATATATACTTCAATATGGCAGAAGCAAAGGGAACAAGGAACAACAAAAGCATATGTGAATCATCCGACATGCTTTCCATATCAATCGACAATTTGATTCAAAGATATATAATCAATGAGACATAACAATTTCCATACTTGATATACATTAATAAATCTTCGGCCCAAGTGGCATAGAAGACCTACACTTTCTGATTAGACATTTTGGTATATTTCAGGCTTATAGCCCTGTCTAACCATCTGCCAATGCCATAGAATACAAGTCATTCTCTTACGGAGACATGCTCTACATGACCAGAGGCTACATACCATTACCATCGTAAATCTAAGTCTTTTCACTGATAATATGGTCAAAGGTAAAATCTTTGCTATCATAAATAGCAGAAATAATAACAACGGAAAAGCACATAGCACATATAACACATAACATATAATTGTTCCTATATATTGAACTCACTGTGAAATAACCAAAGGAATAAATGATAATTTGAGCAGCACTTCGGCTCTAAATATGACCTTCTGCAATGAAACCGAGGATTCTGGTTGAAAACCGGCTTTACTGGGGCAGAGTTTTGGCTTGAAAATATAATTTTCTCGGGAACTCCAGAGCGTCGGGACTTGCTTCGGGTGTCGGGAATGATATCACACCTTCGTGGGTGTTAGAGGGGCTTGAGAGAGGTTAAAGAGTGAAAGAGAGTGAGAAAATGTAACCTAAAACCGGAGATCTTCGGTCTCTAATTATAGGGGATAGAAGCTGCTGACTACGATGGGCGTAGTCTTCAATACGTTGGGCGTACTATGAGTCGGCCTAGTACGCGGGGCATACCCCTCGTACGCGGGGAGTACATGCGAGGCGTGTCCTCTGATCAGAACCTGGGTCTCTTATGTGGCAATCTTATCGCATACGCATGCCTTGTGCGAAGAGAGAGAGATTCGTGGCCAGCTTCTGACTCTGTATACGAATGCTGGGCATACGAAGCAATGTACGCTGGGCGTACCCTTTGGATAATCCTTGGATTTTTTTTATTTATTTTTATTTAAAAACTTCAAAAATTCGATCTTTCGCATACAAGCTCCGTTTTTTACGATCTTTATACCCACACGTAGGTGAGATTATACCCTACAACTTTCGTTCAGACTTCGTCGTCTATTTTGAATTCATTTTTTAATATTGTATTTTTAAGGGGCCGAGATAGGAAAAGTCCGTTAACAAATCATAACTTCTTCATCTGGCGTCCGTTTTCTTCTATCTTTTTACCGTTGGACTACAATCGATTAGATCTTCGATTCCATGTCGGCTAAAACTCACTCGATCTTTACTTCAAGCTTTTTTTAGCTGTTTATTGTTATACTGAAACTTGTAAAAATTATAACTTCCTCATATGAAGTCAGATTTTGACGTTCTTTTTGTGGAAATTCTCGGTTTAATGAATACTACAACTTTCATTTAGATCATATAGGCTAAAAAGTAGTTTATAAAAAAACCCACTTTTTACGTCATTCGGTATCGTGTCGGTTCTGTCGCAAAACTTCAAATAGTCATAACGTCATTCGGCATCGTTTCGGATTTCGATGAGGTTTTCGCCTAAATGTTTCTAACGAGATTATTTACAATTTTCAATAATAAAATTTTACTTATTTAAAATTTTATATTTCGTTAAATTTCAATATTAGATTTGAATCTCATATGACTTCTAATTTTTCCGAGTGATTCTAAACATCATTTTACTTCAATTCCAGTAAAAACTAGCTGTTAGAACTCAATACTCAATATCACATAATATTTCATAATCTTATTCATTAAAAAAACACGAATTTCAAAACGTGTATGGTACAATGAATGTAATAGTAAAAGTACCTTGTTATTCATGGAATGAATGGGGAGCCATGTCCCATAGTTGAGATCGAGATATTCCACCTCATATGAAAAGTTTGTTACCACTAGCCACAAAAATTTTGTTGTTGACTGAAGCACCAACAACATGGATGTTGTTCCAATACAAAGGTGGTTTTAAAACCCATTGCTGAGTTGTTGGGCTGTATGATTCAACTATACCAAATACAATAATGAATACATGGTAGTTATAAATAAATTTTACAATATGTAAATAATTAAAGTGGTTATTAAATAATATTACATGTAGGTTTTATACCACCAAAATGGTAAAGTTCACCATTCATGGTTGGTGCTGATCCGTATTTCTTCACAACATTCATTGGGGTGAGTGGGATTCTAATACCATAACATGGGTAGTGTGAATCCAGACATGGAAACCATAAGCAACCATCAAATCCCCCAACAATCAACACCGAGTTTGGAATGTTTGAATCATTCTTGCTTTCTTCAACACATCCAGATTCGAAAACATCAATCCTGTTTCTAAGCTGTTGGGTTTCTTGTTTTGATTTATCTTGGGTAGCAAAATCACATAAAGTTATAGAAATACAACAAATAAAATATTTAATTATTTTTTTGATAATTGTTATGTACCAGTTATTGTTCTAGCATATTGATGTCTGTGATTTGCTTCAAATGAGATCCCTTCAGCACTTCAACTTCTTTCATTAGCTTTATGCATTAAAAATATGAACTTCATTTGACCATAACATATCAAACAAAAAAAAAACATAGAAAATGTGAATATTATTTTACCTTGGCAACCAATGACTCAATATTTGTAGAAGAAATCTCTAAAGCTGTATCAGGCACTAAATAATCGTCTTTTTCATTATTTTCTTCTACATTGGGCTTCCCTTCCTCAATAGATGATGACAGCTGGCAATCCGGGTTGTCATCTAACAGTTGAGATGAAGATGGCAACTCCTTTGTGTTGGTTTTTGTATCAGAATTCAGTTCTCATACAAAAGTCTGGACACATTGAGCTTTCTAACTTCATCTTCGAATCCTATCACGGAATCATTTAGCAACGGAACCCCACAAGACGAACGACTTGAATCCCCTTTCATTATACTGTCTTGCAAATCTCCTATTCGATTAAGAATCACCAACGGAACAACAATCTGGAAGAATTTTAGCATCGATACATTTAGCTTATCCAGTTTGACCGCATGAGTGTATATTTCGAACCATTAGACATGATTGCATTTCAGAAATAGGGCTTTAGCGCCCACTATGTAAGTAATGAACATACCATGTTCATGTTTCAGCCGATCTGATACCTTAGTTTCTTTCTCGAGGTTTTCAATCATAGGGCCGATTGTCGTGATAGTTTCTTATATTTGAATGAGATCAGAGCGAAACTGCGGGGAGTTCTTTAATACGTGTATGATGATATCTGATAGTTTAAAAACAACAACTCCTAGCCCAACATATTCGTATTTACTATTTCTTCTGGAGACACATCAACAAAAGCTGAGAACATTTTTAGTTAGAAACTCTTGCAAAAGTATCTATGGATTTTGTGGTGCTTCAAAGGGTCAAAAAGGTCATTACATATTGGATTTATGTGGTTGTTTTGGTGCTTCAAAGTCATCTATGGAGTTTGTGGCTGTGGCTGATGGTGGTGATGGAGTTCGAAACGGAAAATTCGATCCCGGTGTCTCGAAGCCGGCATCAATACAATGGGAAACCATCTGTAGTCGAAGTTGGAAATCGAGTACGCATCTAAAATAGAAGATATAGGAGAAAAATGGACATGCAATTGAAGAACATAATAGTAGAAGGAGCAAAATCAATTGGTGGGGTGGTTTTAGGGCTTTTGGATGCCGATGATTGTGATGACGGTGGTGATGAACGTTAGCGGAGGAAGGAAGAAAGAGAACAAAAGGTATGGATAAGAAGTGATGGAAGGGAGAAACTAGAATGACCGATTAACTTATGGGTGTGGGGATAAAATGATCGGGAAACCGGTATTGTTTCCGTGTCCACAAACAATATGAATATTGACATAAGATGACCCTATAGACGGATTTGAACACACATATATAAAAAAAGGACCATGTCTGCCAACCTCTTAGGAACTGTACTATTCGTAAGAGGTGGATAACTTATATATATATATATATATATATATATACACACACACACACACACACACACACACACACACACACCATGGTTCTAAAAAGCGCGTAATGACGCGTTTCAAGGCGTGCAATGGCGCGAGGCATGGTGTAGCCGTTACGAAAACGTTCAATGCGGGTTTTGTGAAACGTGATGCCCAAATAACGTGTCAACGCGCGTCTTATCGTGTTATGACACGACTTTGTTTGTTTTTTTATCGGATCTAAAATAAATGATTTTTTGTTAACTTTTTTCTATTAGATATTAATATAACAATTCTAAAAACTTCATATATTTGATAAAATTCAATAATTATAGGATTTAAATATTTTAATGTATATAATATAGTCACGTCTTGAAAAACCTTATGGCTCATCAATACTTGTCAAGACTTAACTATTACTTTGCTATTAAACCATGTCTTACATTATTTAGAACATTTATATATACACATGAAGGCCTCGTTGATTTGGCCTAGTTGCTCAACATTTTGCTTAGTTTTGTTAATAATCTCTTTTCTCGAAGTGTTGATTATGTTCACATGTTAAATGTGTTTTTGTTTTATAAAATTATTAAATCCTAAATTAATTGACTTTTTATTAGATATAAATCATATAATATATTTTATTGCGACATTACGTTTTTATTTGTTTAAACATGAAAATGTGATTCTGTAATTTAGAAAGGCTAAAATCTAAGAAAAAATCAATACACTATCCTTAATGTTTAAAGAAACCATTATATATATATATATATATATATATATATATATATATATATATATATATATATATATATATATATATATATATATATATATATATATATATATATATATAAAAGTAAAGGTTCAAATGAGAACCATAAAACATTAAGAACCTAAGAGCCAACTAATTAAGAGAAATTCTTATCAAAACACGGAATGACCTAAGCTGTAATTCTCACGAAATAGAAGCTGTAAAGGTTTACTATCTACAACCACCACCTACCTCCAGTGACTGTACAACCCCGCTGCCACCTACCTCCAACGACTGTACAACATCGTCGTCACCTACCTCCTCCGACTATCCACCACCGCCACCTAGTGTCTTCACCATGTCTCTGCCTCATGCCGCCGACAAAACTCGTTACCATCGTCGTTACGTGCTTTTCCGGCGACTTCCAAAATACTAGTTGAAGGATTCTTATGGTCTTGTCTCATTTATGGTGGTCTTGGTAGTTCAGATATGTCCAGATCTGGTCAGATCTAGAACCTGTGGCTTCAGATCTACAACAGTTGCCTTCAGATCTGCCCTCATCATTACTTCTTTCTACCGACGTCGATCTCACCACCACTATCCGCCAACCTTCAGATCTGGTGTCGCCACCTTCAGATCTAGAACATCCGCCTTCAGATCTCTCATCACCATCGAGTTGCTGTCTAATGTCACCGTCGTCGATCTCTGCACCACCGACCACCGCCTACCATCAGCTATTGTGCTTCGACGGAACACCAAAAAACATCACACTCTACTCTAAAGTTCAAATTTGCTTCGTCCTCAGATCACCAACGTCCAAATCTGACAAAGTACAAGAAAACTTCTTTGATTTGCTTCACCGGAACAACATATCTAATGATGCATATAAGTATTTTATCTTCTAGATGTCTTACCACATTTAGATCTGCTTCTTTATTCAACCAATCTCCTTTAGATCTTTGATTTTATAATCTTCACCGCCAATGTTATACTATTGTTGTAACGCTCGGGTTTCGGGGCTAAGCATTTTTTACAATGTAATAGTCTAGGTCAACTATTGTAACTCTTTTTGAAGTAATAAAGATAAAATATTTGAGTATTATGTGAATTATGTGTATTTATATGCTTATTATTTAATTATAAATATATAATTAATAAAGAATAAAAATAAGCATCAAAATTAAAGTATGAGATAAGCCCGATATATTTATATAAAGTTTTAGTGGTTGAAACAAGGATTTCGGGGATATAGAGAACGCCAAAATCCGAGTTATAACGAAGAAGTTATGGCTCGCCGAAGTTTTACGGCAAAACCGGCATGGCACTGGAAGACATAAATAGTGAATTTACGATGAAGGACTTTTTAGCCTTAGTGATCTAAACCAAAGTTGTAGTATATGTTAAACCGATAACATCAATAAAAAGAACGCCCAAATCTGACTTCGTATGAGGAAATTATGATTTTTCTATGATTCGGCTTAGCAGTGCATGACCTGAAACTCGAATTTTAGTTCGAGATCTTTTTGGCTTACGCGACCTAAATTAGAGTTGAAGATCTCATTAATAGGAAATCAATGGTAAAAAGACAGACGAAAATAGAGTCCGTATGTAGAAGTTATGAATTTTACGCGGACATTTAACAGTATAATCTCCTTGTACTGTTAAATTTACGATCGGTCGAGAATTAGCCGACGGAGTCAAAATGAAAGTTGTATATCTTATTATTACCTACGCATGGATATAAAGAACGTCAAAATCGAAGGTCGTATGTGAAAGTTACGTATTTTAGAAGTCGAAAGTGTGCTGTACGAAAATGGGTGATGTTGCACAATCTTGGTCATTGCTTTCTCCCCAAGGTTTGCCACAAGATGGTGACATGTGGCACCAAGTTTAGCCACATTTCACCCAATAAATACCACCTCTCCCACCCTCATTTTCTTCCCACCTTTCTTATTCTTTCTTCTCTTTACTATCTCTCTCTCTCTCTAGCCCCGAAATCCCCCGAAAAGCCTAGGGAACCTCCCTAGCACGAGGCGGAAGCTCCGGAGTGCTCGACGGCTCTGAGAAGAAGAGCTTTTCGGTTTGGGAATGTTGCTCCAAGCAAATCCCGGTTTTCTATGCAACCCGCTGTAAGTGAGCTACACGTACGCTATTTTTAATATATCATTTATTTAATTATAGTAACGTTATTAGCAACTTATAATAAGTACTTGGGATATTATTATGGGTTATATAAGTATTGTTTGACGCTTATATAATAGTAATAATAGCTAGACTATTAATTAGTCTCGGCGAATAATAGACTAAACTCTAGTGGTAATAATTTTGGGTTTCGTCGAAGGAAATTGTTTTTAAGAAGCGAAGCACTATCTGAGTTTGGATTCACCACCTTTTCAGGTGAGTGCATAGTTACTTTCATCTTACACATAGATATGAAGTATTTTATAAATTACGTGCTATCTATGCATATTATCTGTATACTTGCTATCTATGTTGGATGAATGTTTTTATACAAGTTTTAAATGATTTAAACTGTATATGTATTTTATATCTACAAAAATGTTGGGGTAAAACATGGGTAGATGTAATAAGACGATATGTGATAAAATGATGAGAGGCCTCGATGTTGTTGTTGTTGATCCAGTCATCTAGCGGAGTATAGATGACGACCACAGACTCTTCTAGATAGTCCAGTGGAACCCTGGCAGGCTCGCAACCTGTAGGTGTTTGTGAACGATGTGTTCACCGGTGTACTCCATCCCCCTCATGGTTGCCTTTAGGACATTTATTGCTTAAGAAACCCCTTAGCAGTAGTGTCCGTCCCGATGATGATCCTTAGGATAGGTCCCTTATGATAGGTGTTTAGGGACGTAATGTGAGGATAACGGGAACGGGTAATCGGGTTATTGTTGGTCGATGAAATTAATAAACTTATTCATTGTGGGTTGAAAACCCTATGTGCTCACCAGGATCCCAAGCCTGCTTCACTCAGTTTTTTGTATTACAGGTAGTGGCGCTCGAGCATAGTTGTGATGTGTTGGGATGAGGGATTACGGATATAGGCATGTAGATATGAAATAATGTAGTAAAGCTTATATTGTATTGTTTATACTTATGTACTGTATCGAACATGAAATCCCGAGTCTTTTAATGAAATACATTTCTAAGGAAATGCTTTTGATAACTCTTTATCATATTATTGTTTTGGGACAAATTCTACAACTCTTTTATTAAAAGGTTACTCTGATTTTGAAATAAAGTATAACAAAACCGGTCTTTTCTGGCTGTGATTTTGGGGATGTCACAGTTGGTATTAGAGCATTAGTTTAAGCGAACTAGGAATTTGTAGGATTTCTAGACTTAAACTTAGAATGCTAAGAAATGATTGTGAGGTGTGAGCACTAGCTTATTTTAGGAATTATGCCTAAAATGCTTTTATGCGCTAAGTG